GCTATTACACTGTAGAGCTTTACTTTCTATGAATCTTAGAGAAATTCTACTCTTCTTTGTAATCCTCCCCTCCCAGAACTGTGTCCCCCCCCACTATCCAAAGGGAGAGCGTTCCTACAAAACCTTTTGCAAGCCAAAAAGACGTAAAGCAAAGAAGCGATTACCATTAATTTAATTGGGGAACATTTTTGAGCATTCCCAGAGCCCCCAAAATAACCACTTTTAGGCTCTTCTGATACTGTGGGACACATCTTGCTAACAGATGCCCAAAATAAATCGAGATAAAGCACACATGTTCACAGAGTTCAAAGCTATGGCGGCTGGATGCTGAGATGCCCAGTGCAGTTCTCAGGGAAGGAGCTGGGCGGGGCCAGTCTTGCCGCTGGGGTGTGTGCCGCCTCTATAACAGCTCGCTGCAAAACAGACAGACTGCCATTTTTTCTTCTTGCCTCCTTTCATCGAAGTGACAGTCCTCTTTGGATTTCTTGCCGTTAGCAAAAACAGGTACTAATATAAGTGTTTCATAAGAGCAAGTGGCTTAACAGGAACTTCTAACAAGTGAAGAATACCTGTGTCCGACTGGATGTCATGGAACGCGAGGGAGCATAATGTGAAGATCAAGTCTTGAACGCTAGTTACCTGACATCCAGGAAACCGTTTATGTAAAAATTCCATGGTTCGGCAATTATATCTTGAGCATCCTATGTTGTAGGCCCTGGGATAGACTCTGACAAGAGAGATTTTAGGGTTCTTCCTCACGTAAGACTTTTCTTCCCAGGCAGGGAAAAGACACATATTTGCAGGGACACTACTCAACTGTGGTTCTTAGTTAGGAACCAAAGAGAATGGTCTGCACATCTAGAACATGCCCTTTGGGGTGCATTATCTAAGAATGGCCAGTGCCACTTGATTGATCGACAAGCCCCAATGAAGGCAACCAATTTAGCAAGTTGAGAGGTTTTATAAAGTCATTCTTAATTGGCTCTCACCGTTGTGAAGTGTAAAGACAACATAGCATGGGATTAAGAGCAGGATTAATTGTCTGTCTCCAATCAGACAATTCATTTCAAATATTAGCTTTGCTGTTACCGAAATGTCTGATCTTGGGAAATCATTTAATCCATCCAAACCTTAGCTTTCTCATCTGTGAAATGGGGCTTATAATCATTGTAATATCCACCTCATAGGGTTTTCCTCTCAATTAAATACAAATATTATATAAAACTGTTAGCGCATAGCCAGGCTCATACTAAGTATTTGATTTCTGAGTTTTTGTGTATTTGGGGGTTGGCCAAAAGAAATGCCCCCTGCTAATCTCTGAGTAAAGGAGATGCTGGTTTGCACCTCTCCCTACGGCTGTTGGTTTTTCTAGTAGCAGCCCCGAGGGTTAATACTGCGAGAGGGTGTGGGTGGCTCCTGTTTAGATAAAACCACATCCCAAAGCTCCCTTTTAACCCAGTTTGCTATTGTTAGGGTTTTTCACCACCTCTTTGAAGTTTCAAGATTGACAGATGTTATTCAGTAATTCCCACCCCACCAAATTTTTACATGTAGGTTTTCAAAAAGAAATCACAGGAAATTTGAGGGGAAAGTAACGCTTTGGTTTCTGATATTGAACAGGGGGGGATTTCTAGAATCTTCTTCACACATAAATTTTGGGGGATTTCTGTGTTTGTCTTTCCCGCAGCCTGAAGAAGAATAGAAGTTAGCGAGGAAGACCCTTTTCATCTATGGCCAGGAATTACAAAATAAAATTATCAGCGATAAGTGAACAGTTCATTTGAACATTTTGCACTCTTTAACCCATTGAAGACACAGCCAAGTAATTATGCAATTAATATATTTTTTTTTATTTTCTAGTTGTGTTGTTGCCCCATGTGTGAAAGAGAAAATTCACAATTGGACCAAAGTGAAGTCTCCCCACACTCTGCTAATGCCTTAGAGGTTGTTAAAACAAATAACATCTATACGAGAGGGGCCAACAAACTTTGTCTATGAAGGACCAGGTAGTAAATATTTTAGGCTTTCTGGGCCAGATATTATCTCTGCTGCATGAACGTCTTAGTTTCTTTCTTTTTCTAAACAACTCTTTAAAACACAAACAAACATTTGTAGCGTGTGGGACTGCACAGAATAGTCCCTGTGGCCATGGCTTGCCAATCCTGCTGTAGAACAGAAAAACATGTGAGGGTAAGTCATCATCCATTCAGCTTCTGTGACCAACATTTGCTGAGTACTGTAGGTACCCCATCCTAGGCCAGGCGCTGGGTATAGCGTGGTGATCGGTATGTGTAGATTTACCCTGGACAGTTCACTTTCTCTTGGGGAAAATAAGCAGTGTGGGAATCAAACTGATTTATGACTATAAGGCATCTTGTGTGGTTACAGACAAGTGGGTGCTTGAAGCAGACACATTCATGAGATACTTCAGATGATAGAGGCGCGGTTACTGGGAAGGAACATTGTTTCCTGCTGTGACAGCTCCTTCATCTGCCCCCTTAACCTTGCTCTCCGGGCTCGTACTTTGCTAAACGATGGGGACAGTCCGTACTTGTCTACACGAACTCTTTTTTTTTTTTTTTTAAGATTTTATTTATTTATTTGAGAGAGAGAGAGAATGAGAGATAGAGAGCACGAGAGGGAAGAGGGTCAGAGGGAGAAGCAGACTCCCCGCAGAGCAGGGAGCCCGATGTGGGACTCGATCCCGGGACTCCAGGATCATGACCTGAGCCGAAGGCAGTTGCCCAACCAACTGAGCCACCCAGGCGCCCAACACGAACTCTTTTTACTTTTGCAGTTCCAGTGTCTTCTGTCATCGCCTCACCCGTTGTCACCACCCTCACCACCTGTCCTTTGTCCCATTCATGCCTCCCAATGTGAGCAAGAATTTGGGTTTTCAAGAGTCAGTTACCATATTGTTTCCCCTTCCGTATTCTTTTTAATGCACTAGTAGATCTTTCCCCAAAATAGTGACTGTTTTTCCTCTTGGTTGCTGAAGTTCAGATGTTTTGGGGTTACTTTTCCAGTTTTTCAGTGCCATCAAATAGACTTCAGAGCTAAGGTTTCCATCTAGAAGTATAGGCAGTAGAAGTTGGCGTTTCCACTTAGAAACTGACCTTAGGACCAGGCAGTACGTCATGTTAAACCTGAATACCCCCTCAAAATAAGAACCCAAATACCCCAAACTGGCACAGCACGAGCGTCATCTCTCACTGTGCTTTGTTAAGGGATGATATCAAATACGATCGAGGTAATGGGTTCTCTTCAAGAGGTTATGGTTCTCCCCCTTGCACCTAGACTACATTCTTATTGCTGTATTCTCATCAAACACCTACAGTAGGTGAAAACTGCCAATTGAACAATTATAGATACTTTCTCTGACATGATGTCCACGTCCATGTCACCCACCCAACCCTTTTCCTCTCTGTTCCCTTGTGTGGACTTGGCAGTTTGGGAAAAGTGCTCTTCCTCAAATAGATCGTATATTCGTAGTTTTTAATGTGACATTCCTTCTAGCCGTCATTGACCTTTTCCCATCTTCCATTGACCAACTAAAACATGGTCCTTGTCACTGTGGTTCCCTGTTTCTCTAAGCTCTTCTACATTCCGCCAGTGCGTATAGACTGCAGCACAAATTCAGCGCCTGTCCCAGATTGCCATATGTTACTATGCATATCCTGTGTACGTGTCCTACCCCTCTCCTTGGGCTATAATCCCTTTGATGGCAGGGCCATCCATACCATAGTAGGCACCCAGCAGTGCTACATTTAGTGAGGAAATCTAGCATCTGATCATGAGGACTGCTTGTTAATAGGTAACTGTGAGGGAAAATGAACGACATATAAAAGCAGTAGCATTCTGGCATTCTTGCCCAGTGGAGACAGGCTAACACGAAGCTCTTACTGAACCGTAACTGCCTTTCACTATCTCCTGCCGCTGACTGTTTCCATCCATGTTTTTCTTCCCAGAAGGAAAACTGTTTAACCAGAGCCAGCCGAGGCCAGCACATGAAGCAAAGTTTGACATACACGACATTATATGTGGTCAGATAGCTGGTGCTAATGACTCTCCTCCATCACCCCACAGGGCCTGCTTCAGTGGGGTCCAAGTTAGAAAACTGCCTGCATTTCCTTCTTTTCACTCCTCTCACCTTTGTAGCAATATTCCCACTGTTGCTAGTAAGATTTCCTGTTCTACGAAACTACACACCACATGCACATTGAAAAGAGGAATATTGGGTGGATATAAGGTGACTGACTTCCAAAGACCCTTTTTCACAGACTCCTCTTCCCATCGCCTATGTTTAAGGGTGGCCTGGAGGTTGGTCAGAACAGGGCAAGCTGGAGTGTAGGAAAGAATAAAGACAATGGTAGGACCGTGAGAGTGTCTTCATTTCTACCCAATACCATCTACGTAAGCTTTTTGGAGGCAGGAGCTACCATTCTTTCTTTATTCCCAGAGCCTCCTGTAATGCCTTGGTTTACACTCCGTGAATGCTTTGTCCATTTATCCAACACTTACTGAGGACCTGATGTGTGCTCAGCACTGTTTCTGGTGGTGAAGAAGAAAGACATGGCCCCTGCCAGCGTGGAGTGGTCAATCCACTGAGGGTGGGGAAAGTAGGGAAAGGCAGATGTGAAACCCATAACTGGAGTCATAGTGATTTAATTCTAATTGTGCCAAGTTGTCACATAGGAAAAATGTAGAATGTGATGAGAATATATAAAATAAAACACTTCCCCACATTTTCCTAGATCTCCTTTAGAGAGTGACATTGAAGCTGAAGTTTGAGGGAAGAATAGGAGACCTTGAATAGGTGGCCAGCGGCAAGGAAGTCTGGACGGGTGCATCCATCCCTGGAATAAAAAGTCACAATTTATTATCCACAAAAATTATGCAGATGTTAAAACTTCTAGATGCCTGAGGTGTGGACCCACTCTCTGACTGTGCATACCCACCAAACCCAACTTCTTCTCTCCCTCCTTTTGTTTCCACATCAGAATATGCCACCAACAACCCTGACCTGTTGTTAGTCATATTCCAAGTGACAGGCGTCAGCCTCCTGCCACCCCTGGGAATCGCCATAGCTGTCATCATCACCTTCTACTGCTACCGCGTTCACCGGCAGCAGAAGCTGAGCCCGTCCTGGGAGACCAGCAAGCCGCGGAAGCTCATGGAGTTCAGCGAGCACCTGGCAATCATTCTGGAAGATGACCGCTCCGACATCAGCTCTACCTGTGCCAACAACATCAACCACAACACAGAGCTGCTGCCCATTGAGCTGGACACCCTGGTGGGGAAAGGTCGCTTCGCCGAGGTCTACAAGGCCAAGCTGAAGCAGAACACTTCAGAGCAGTTCGAGACTGTGGCAGTCAAGATCTTCCCTTACGAGGAGTACGCCTCCTGGAAGACGGAGAAGGACATCTTCTCAGACATCAACCTGAAGCATGAGAACATCCTGCAATTCCTGACGGCCGAGGAGCGGAAGACGGAGCTGGGGAAGCAGTATTGGCTGATCACTGCCTTCCATGCCAAGGGCAACCTACAGGAATACCTCACACGGCACGTCATCAGCTGGGAGGACCTGCGCAAGCTGGGCAGCTCCCTCGCCCGGGGCATTGCTCACCTGCACAGCGACCACACCCTGTGCGGGAGGCCCAAGATGCCCATCGTGCACAGGGACCTCAAGAGTTCCAATATCCTCGTGAAGAACGACCTGACCTGCTGCCTGTGTGACTTTGGGCTTTCCCTGCGCCTCGACCCAACTCTGTCTGTGGATGACCTGGCTAACAGTGGGCAGGTAAGTTAGACCTGGGTCCCCTTACTTGTAGCGGGCCCAAGCCACCTCTCCATCCATCTCTCATGTCTTTTGTCTCAAACAGCCCGATGCTCTGGACACCTGTCTAGGGAATCTAGCCAAAGTGAGGAGTTGCCCCTCGGCATGCCCCACTCTCTCCTGCCAGCGTGCTTTTCTAATGAACAACATTTCTCCTCCGGTTTCTGCCAAGCCCATCTAATCCAGGGTAGGCGTTCTTCTCCTTCAGTTGGTCTTCATTTCTCTCCCATTTGTAAATTACTTTTCATTGCTTCCAACACCACCCGTGCTTTGTCTCTTTTTCCTCTCTTATGCTTCTACTCAGCCCTTCCTACTCTGAACTATTGGTGGCTACCTTGTTTCCTTTTTACCTTTCCAGAGGGCGGTCTCCTTGTAGCCCAAATCCACTTCCATTTTTGCTCACATCTAACACTGGAACAGCGAAAATGTCCAATATATACTTGAGTGAGATGACAGACTGAGTAGATACACAATTCTCCAGTTCCTTTGAAGCATCTCACAGATAACAATAGAAACCTTTTTGGGTAAGGAGATATTGGAAGGTCACTAGAAATTACCAAGCCATCCTTTATGAATAATGGTGCCCCATGTTTTCACACACTGAAAGCTTGATATGGATTACAGTAGAGTCTGCAAAGCACCATCGTTTCCTCTAAGCAGGTGGGGGTATGTGCTTCTGAAGCATTTGGTTACGGCTCGGTCTGCTCTCTTGGGTCTATGGCTGCACAGCCAATGTTCAGATAAACATATCGAGTGAAACATGGACAGATTAATCTGACAGGGTAATGAGTCATGCAGCGACCTAGTAAGAAGAAAAATTTCTTCTGATACATACCATTAAGAAACATTCCTTGGGACAATAATATCAACTCACCTGACCGTCCTTAGCTTCTTGAAAGTGTAGGAACTTCATTGTTATTTAGTGAAGCTATACATGCTACAAAATCAAACGTTTAAGTGATCCCTTCCCTAGAAATATCTTTCCTCTTTTTTCCTGTGTATACCAGTGTTTTCGCGTTATCGGTCCTACATGGCTAAATTATAAAATGATCTAGATTTGGTCTTTTACTGTAGAAATACTTTCATGCAGTTTAGTTTACTAGAGATTTTATGAAGTTACACTACATTCTTGGCACACTAGAACAGTACCATGGAGTAAACAAAGAAGTTGAGACAGTCCTCAAGTGACCGAAACTAATGGCAATGATTCTTATTTTCCCCATAAATCTTGGTGTTTCGGGAATGAGAAAATAGTTAATTTGCAAAAGCAAAAATAAAGATCTAAAGTATCACAGATGTTATCTCCCTGGTTATCGGTGAGGATGTTATTGTAGAATACAATGACATATATCATGAAGCTAGATAAAGCAGCTCTGGGGTTTGGCATTTCCTTCTTTTGGTATGCTTTGTTTATATTTTTAAAAGTGTTTTCAGGGAGAGAAAACCTATTTTTAAAAATAATTTCATAAGCTGTACCTTTCTTTGCCAGTCTCATGATTTAAAAGAGCACTGTGCTTTTCAAAGATCATCTGCATGTGTCGAGGACAAACATCAGTTATATTTCTAAAATAAAGATGCAGCCGGGAATTACATGATGGGTCTCAAAGTCTATTATTGCTTTAGGTGGGAACCGCAAGATACATGGCTCCAGAAGTCCTAGAGTCCAGGATGAATTTGGAGAATGTTGAATCCTTCAAGCAGACGGATGTCTACTCCATGGCTCTGGTACTCTGGGAGATGACATCTCGCTGTAATGCAGTGGGAGGTACGTATGGACCACCATCATGGTGCAGGGGTTGACGCGTCTTCAAAATGATGTTATGTTGTTTGCTTCAAGCATAATTCCAGGGCTACAACAGAGTTAACTCCACAGTGAGAGCTGGCTGAGATCTGTTAGTACACAGCCATTCCAGAATGATTGGGAATTGTGCTAAATAAAAGCCTAGATTTTTAAGCTGAAAGCCATGTTCAGAGCATAAAGCTTTCTATCCCCCTTTTTGAAGTATGATTACTCTTCTCTTGACACATCTCGCCACAGATATTTAAATATCTGGGAAGACTTGAACACCGATACAATTTATAGGAATGAGTTCTGTTTATCAAATGGAAAATATTGTTCAGGAAAATATCTGATTTTTGTTTGGTTTTCTATTTTAAGGTTTTTAAACCTTAAGAATTATAAGGTCCAGGTGGTGGATTTGGCTCAAAATTTATTTTTATGGAGATGACTTTCCTTTGTTGGGCAAAACAAGCAGAGTGATTTGATATATTTGTTAAGCTTTATAAAAATCTAGTAGAGAGGTTATTAAGGAATGCCACGGTATTCTTCAGGGACATAGGAGGGATGCCATTGTTTTAGACAGCATTGTCCCTGATTTCTGTGGACATGAGAATGGCTCAGGTCTACATTTTTACCCTTTTCCCATTCTTCTCCCTAGTTTCCATGACGGTCTTCACTCTTACCTTAGAAATTTATGCATCTCAGCTTGGTCCTGGCTGGCTGCTAAGTCAAGCCAGGCCAACTCCAGTTTTATTTTTAACTCTTTGTTTTGTAATATTTTTAGACTTACAGAACAGTTGCAAAAATAGTATAGGGAGTTCCCATATAGTCTTCGCCCAGCTTCCCCTACCATTAACACCTTACCTAAACCACACAGCACAGCTATTGAAGACAGGTCATTCACATTGGCACAATACTCTTAATTAGCCCGTACTAGTTATTCATGTTTCCGGGTTCCCAGTAGTGTCCTTTTCTGGAGCAAAATCCAGTCCAGGATCCTATGTTCCAGTTAACGTCCGTGCCTCCTTAGTCTCCTTCAACTTGTGACAGTTCCTCAGTCTGTCTGTCTTTCATGACCTGGACACTCAGGAAGAAGTTATACTAGTTATTTCATAGACGGTCTCTCACTTTGGGTTTCTCTGATGTTTTCTCACGGTTAGATTGAGATCGTGCATTTGGGGCAAGTACTTCTTGCAATGCTTCAGCAATGATGCTCTGCCCTCCTTGGAGGCTCATGGAAGGGGAACAAGATGTCAGGGTGTCTGTTCAGTTTGGTCCCTGGGTTGGGGTGGTATCTGCCAGGTTTCTCCCCTGTAAAGATACTGCTTTTTCCATTTGTGATTAAAACATATCTTATAAGAAGATACCTTGGCCTGTTTCTAAAGATACTAAACACCTGTTTCATCAGGATACTAGACCTGTTTCTTATCATAACTTTACCTGCTGATTTTAGGATCCATCAGTCATCCTTGTTGGCAACAATTGTTATTGTAATGTTTGCCTGTCAGCGATTTTCTGTTGTCTTATCCTTTCTACATGCGTTAGTAGGTCTTCTGCTGTAAGGGAGATCTGTCCTTTCTCTGACCACCCCCGGTATTTATTCTTTTCATTATGCATTTATATCAGTATGGAGCTGTGAATATTTATTTTCTTCTATGGGTATCCAATATCACCAATATTTATTTTGTTGTTCAGATCGCCACAGCGTTGGTCACTGGAGCACACTACCCATGGGTAAAACATGGTGGATCTGGTTGGCACCACGCTGGCTCTGAATCTTCATCCTGTTTAGAACTTCCTTAGCTGACGCTCCAGGATGGGCCCAGGTCACCGCTTTCCCACTGGAAATCTTGCTGTCCCATCACCTATCTGCCTGGGTTCCTGCATGGGGATAGCACTTCCTGTCTGGCTGTCTTGCCCGACTTTCTTCCCCGACAGCACATCCAACACTAACTTGGTTTTTCCTTGTACAGTGAAATTTGTTTAACCAAGTTTCAGCCACTGAGAATAATTTTCTGCTTGAAAGCTTTGACAGTTCCAAAATGAATCCTTAGACCGGTATGAGTTGTGTAAGAGACGATGCTGTTGTCACTGTCAGAATAAATTTACCTAGATTTCGGTATCTTTTCTATCCTTTCAGACCCGTTATTCTATAAACATGAGCTGGAGATTGTTTCTCTGCTTTCCCTCTGTCAGTGCAGCCAGCTTATTAAGGCCCTATGTGAGATCCCTGCTTTCATTGTGATCGATGACTGAAACCCTTTCCTGTTGATATTTGCTGAGTGTGGAAGAAGTCGGGCTAATGGGAAGAACTGAGTTCACCAACTTGTACAAGGTCTAAAAACGGATACAGTATAAACAAGTTTTCCCAAGGAAGGAACCGGATCTCATTTGCTCAGCTGGTCTCAAAAAACCTTTCATAACCTCTAGGGTAAGAACAGACGGCTTTTGGGGGACCGGAAAGAGGCCATCCCAGTTCTCATTTTGTTTGATCTTAAGCCCACAGTCGTGTTTCTCCCATCTCTGCTCAGGCTGCAGAAACCCAAGCTATTTATCGGTGCTCACTTTGGCCCAACTGAAAGCCCTTCAGTTGTTTTAGTGTGTGAACTCACATGTATAAGCCCTTTCGTTAACCTTCTTTTGAAAGCATTGGTTTTTGGTTTAGGGTTTTTGGGGGTTGTGTTTTGTTGTGTTTTGTTTTTTGAGGGGGATGTATCTTAAAAACATCAAAGACAGATTCTTAGCCTAGTCTTAATTTCAGAGACTTTTCTTCTATATTTCGGGAATCCCCTGGAAACAACATAAATCCTGCAGATAAATGCCTTCCCTCCCAGCTGTTGTAGATACACAGGTAGAAGGACAGGTTTTGCCTTCAGGAAGTTTGTAGCCTTCTTTTTCTTTACTTTTTAAAAATGTGCACATGCAGACACATTTCTTACCTTACAAATAAAATGGGTACTAATTCCTTCCAGTGGCCGTTAGGCTTTAATTTTGAAGATCTAAGAAAGAGGACGGGATATAAAAAAGCTTTCCTTGAGCTTAAACCTTCTTTTCTGTAACCTGAAATACAATGTATGTAATTACTATTTTTCATGGACAGTCTCGTTTCAAAAACGGAAATGTGGAATCTGAAGCTTAACTTAGTCTGATGACTTGAAGACTTGAGATTTTATTTTGCAACATAGGTCAGCTAATACGCCATCTGGTTTTATTCTGAGTAGCAAAACATCGAACTGAACGCAGTAGGACACTAAGCGTCAGGGGACAGTCTTGCAGGGAATGAGAAACCCCAGCTTTCCTGCCTTTAAGTGACTCCATTCTGCTCTTGGGGTTGAGCCCAGACTCTTCACACGGACACTAAACCTGACCCTCGCTCGCCTCTCTAGGCTCGTCTCCCGAAGCACAGTTGTTCCACGCTGCAGGTCTTCTGTGAATGTCGGGTCTCGACACTAGGCTTTGTCTCATGCCCTTACCTGGGACTGAAATAGACTTTTGAACAGGCAAGTGCAGTTCAGTTGTGACCGGTGCTGCCGGAAGGTAAGGCAGGGGCATGGGGCACTTAAAGCCCCCGTCAGCTGAGGGCAGTGAGACAGTAGGGCTAAGCACAGAGGGTTAGGTCAGCTCTGGAAGGAAGGGGAAAACTCAGGAGTGTCCTCTTGAGTTCCTTCTTGATCAGCCTCTCCTCTGTGCAGAGTGGCTCAGGGGAACAGAGAAAGACAGAGCACTACACGGGAGAAGTCTCTTACCAGATGAGAAAACGCAAACAGAGGATCATGGCACTCTTCTGAAGCCAACTGGTACAGCGCCATTCGCACCCAGGAGCTCAAGAGATGGGCTGTCATAATTGAGGAGGGTGGTCAAAAAGGAAGGGCCTCCTGGGGGACGCCCGTGTGATCATGAAGAGAGCCACAGAGGAAGAGTAACCACCATGACTACACACTTGCTTCACGGGTCCCCTCCTCCAGTCTGCCAAGGACCCTGAAGTGTAAGCATTGTTACTGGCTGCATTTTACAGATGGGAAAAACTGAGGTGTCCGGAGATGGGCAAGCTGTGCGGCCAGGAATGAGAGCCCTGCTGTCTGACTCTAGCCCCCTGGCCCCAACCTTCCCAGGACGCAGCCGGCCTGACCAGTGAAGGACAGCTTCAGTAAAGGACGGCTTCCCTCACCACGATCATCATTATGGATCAGGCAGCCAGTGTGACTTGGTGCATCCTGGCCTTTAATTCCATGCCTTTCTGGAAGTAGCTGGCAAGACAGTCACACGCTTGAGGAATGTTCAGTGACGGCCTCACTCATGAAAGTCTCCAGGGATTGACATGGCTGTCTCCTCTGGGTGCATCTCTGTTAGCAGAATCGCAAAGCTGTTCATTTCTGAGCATGTTATGGGCTCAGCGCCCTAAAGTCTGAGATAACTTTCTTACCCTTTTTTCTCTGAAGATCTATTTATCCATTCATTCCTTCCCTCAACAAATATTTATTGAGGACCAATGACATGGCAGGCATATTCAAAATGCTAGAGGCACAGTAGTGAAAAAATTGAAAGAAAAAAAAAGTCTCTGTCCTCAAGGGACAAGGAGTCTCTGAAAAGCTAATATTCTAGAAAGACAGGTAGTAAACAAATCGATATGTGATACAACACCAGGGGTGAGAGGAGGCCAATATGACGATTTTAGAAAGAAAAATAAAGAGTTAGGGACAGATTATGACAGAGGGGATCATTTCAGACACTTGGATCATCTGGAAGAATATGAAAGTCAAGAGAACAGGTCTCTCAGAGCTGTTGGAAGAAGGAGGTGATTGGTCTGTTACTGTCTTCTAAGGAAGGAGGAAAGTCCTGCAGTCGTCACTCAGCAAGGACGGACGCAGAGACTGGCCCTGTCTTTACAAAGAAATCTCTGTCTGGCTTTCGGTTTGTTTGGTGTTCATGCAAGTGTTTGTGGTGTGTGGGGGGCGGATGAAGGCGGGGAGCCTTTCAGGGCCCCC